GGGATCTCTCGGGCCGTCTGGCAGGCGCCTAGGCCTGTCTTGGAGCTCTCTTGGGCCGTCTTCGGGCCATATTCGGGGCCTGACGAGCCGTATTGGAATGCTCTTGGCGGTCCCTTGGGCCGTCGTGGACGCTTGCATGACGAAAAAACCAGTCAGTGAGCGAAACATGTACGTTTCCTATAGGACTCAGAACATGGTAGACTCTTCTGGCTCTCTCGGCGGCCATCTAGGAGCACTCTTGGGCCGTCTTGGGGGCCGCGTGGGTCATCGCGCACCCATATCGGAGCGTCGTGGGATTACAATGAGTCGGTTTAAAGCCCTATCGAATTATCTTGGCGCTCTGTGTGAGCCCTCCTGGGTTGTTTCGAGCTCTTTGAAGGCTCCCGAGGCTCCAGGTAAATCGTTCGCGAAGTCATGGGCCCGGGGAAGGCCCCCCTCAAAACGTCAATTTGGGCCCCAGGGGATCGGGAAGAGTTGAGGGGCACAGCCAAATGTCTCACACGGATTCCCCGCCAAGTTGGAGTGGGCGGATTTTGAAAGATTCGCACGGCAGTGGGCATCTAAGAAAAACGGTGGTCGTTGGCGCCACGATGTGGCCCACGTATGGCCGGGAGGGGCTGTCCCGCAGTTGACGACCACCACTGTGTATGCTCCACTCCTGATACACATGTGTACTTCAATTCTTCGCTTGCCAATGCGCATCTCACAGGAATGGTGGTCGTTGGCCAGCGGCCTCTGGCGCTCCCCAGGCCTTCAATTGATTTGGATTGCTGCGCGCGGCAGCGAGCATCTTAGAATAATGTTGGCCGTTGACGCCACGATGTGTTCCACGCGTGGCCGCCGGATGCGGGGACTGACATTTCGAGCTCCCCGCCCAAAGAGCCCCCCAGGAGCCCAAGAGGTCCCCAGGAGACCCCCAACAGGCCCCCAAGAGGCCCCAAGAGGCTTCGAGAGGCTTCCAGCAAGCCCCCAGAAACGCCCAACAGAGCATTGGGACTGCCCCAACAAAACCCCGGGGCGGCTGGAGGCGCCTCGACAAACCCTCACAGCGTCAAACTGACAACGCGGGAACCAACGTAGTGCGCGCTGTAGGCATCCTCTTCTTTGCTGTTTTGTTTTCTTTCTCGCAAGTCACGCCCACTTGTCCTCCAAGGTCGGGGTTTGTGGCAATATCAGGTTTCTTCCTATGTCTTATGTGCTGTCGAGCTGTCGGTTTGCACTGTACAATTCATTGTTTATTCCTTCTGCGCTTTCGGCTCTCGATTTCCGAATTTAGTGGTGTATGTGTTTGCTGCCCTTGACGGCAGTTGCGGATAAGAGTGAGGGGCCGGCGCGGCCTCGGTGGCGTGTTTTATGTGGACATTTGAAAGTCCGTGTAAGGGAATATGTGAGTGCGGGACTGTGGGAGCATCTTGGCGAGGGGGAGTATGTTCGCGTGGTGTGTCGATGGTATCCAGGGACATGCGAAATTGTTGTAGCGTGCGTTGTAGTGATACACGAAAGTCTTGTTGGGGGAATATGTTTGTGTGGTGTTGCGTCGATATCTGTGGAAAAGGGGGAATATGTTCGCGTGGTGTGCCGTGGGCGTGCCGGGAGAGGGGCAAGTGTTGTAGCGTGTTTTCCGTGAACATAGGGGAATGTGGTTTTGGGAGTACGTAGGTGTGGGTCTGTGTGCACATCTTGGCCAGGGCGAGTATGGTCGCGTCGTGTTTCGCTGGTACTGTGGGAGAAGGGAATTTGTTGTAGGTCCCGACGTGGTGAAACACGAAAGCTTCGTTGGTGGAAAATGTTTGCGAGGTGCCGCGCGGATATCCAAGGGAAGGGGGAATCTGTTCGCGTGATGTTTCGTGGATACCCGAGGAGGGGGACACTAGTTGTAGCGTGGGTTGCAGTGACATCCAAACGTTCGGTTGGGGGAATATGTTTGTGTAGTGTTGCGTGGATATCCTGAGAAGGGGGGGAATTTTTTCGCGTGAGGTGTCCATAGTGTCCTGGGAAAGGGGAGCCTGTTTTAGCGTGCGGTGTAGTAATATAAGAAAGTCCGGTTCCGGGAATATGTTCACGTGGTGTTTCGTGGGTATCTCGGGGGAGGGGAAGTTGGTGTTGCGTGCGTTGATATGCGTAGAACGTGTTTGTGTGGTGTTGCGCTGATATCACGGAAAGTAGGATTTGTTTCGCGTGGTGTTGCGTGGGTATGCCGGGAACTTGGGACCTGTTGTAGCGTGCGTTGTAGATCTGTCCTAAAGTCTGGCTGGGGGAACTTGTTGTTGTGGTGCTGCGTGGATATCCGTGGAAGGGGGCATATGTTCGCGCTGCGTTTCGTGGGTATCTTCGGGGAGGGGAACTTGTTGTAGCGTGCGTCGTGGTTATATACAAGAGTCCGGTTGGGGAATTTGTTTGTGTGGTGCTGCGCGGGTATCTTGGCAAGGGGGAAGCTGGTCGCGCGGTGTTCCGTCGGTCATTTGGGAATGTGGAATTTGTTGTAGCGTGTTTTGTAGTTATACAAGAAGGTCCGGTTGGGGGACTCTGTTTGTATGGTGCTGAGTGGATATCCTGGGAAGGGGGAGCCTGTTCGCGCGATGTTTCGTGGGTGCACAAGGAGAGTGGAACTTGGCGTAGCGTGCGTTGTACTGATATGGGAAGTCTTGTTGGGGGAATATGTTTGTGTGGTGCTGCGTGGACATCATGGGGAGCGGTTTTGTGTGGTTGGGTTTTCGGTGGGTGTCCTGGGAAACGGAAAGTTGATGTAGCGTGATACACGGAAAGTTGCAGTGATATACCGAAGCCTGGTTGGGGGGAATTTGTTTGTGTGGTGTTGCGTGGACATCCTGTGGTGCATTTTGTTTTTCGTATGGTTTTTTTTGGTGGGTATCCTGGGAGTGGGGAATTTGTTGTAGCGATCGTTGTAGCGATTCATGAAAATCCGGTTGGGGGAACCTGTTTGCGTGGTGCTCAGTGGAAACATTTTTGGAGGGGGAATCTGTTCACCGAGTGTGTCGTTGGTATCCAGGGATAACTGTACGTTTTGAAGCGTCCCTTGTACCGATATACGAAAGCAAATTCGGGGGAATATGTTTGAGTGGTGCTGCGTGGATATTTGGGGAAAAGAGGGAATATGTTCGAATGGTGTTCCGTGGGTATCCTGGGAGAGGGGACTTATTGTAGGTTGCGTTGAAGTACTCTACGAAAGTCCGATGAAGGGGGGAACTTGTTTAGCGTGGTGTAGTGTGGATACATCGGGCAGGGGGACTGTGTTGGCGGGGTGTTGTGGTATTGGTATATTGGGAAAGGGGAATTCGTTCTAGCGTGCGTTCTGGTGATATACGAGAGTCCGCTGGGGGAGAATCTATGTGTGTGGTGTTGCGAGGATCTTCTGGGAAGGGGGAGTATGTTTGCATGGTGTTTCGTGGATATCCTGGGAGAGGGGGGCTTGTTGTAGTGTGCGTCGCTGTGATGCGAAAGCCCAGCCCGGGGAATGTGTTTGTGTGGTGCTGCGTGGACGCCCTGGGAAGGGGGAGTGTACTGGCTTGGTGTTTCGTGGGTATCCTGGGAGAGGGGATGGTGTTGTAGCGTGCGTAGTAATGATATACGACATCTTGTTGGGGGAGTTTGTTTGTGTAGTGCTGCGTGGATTTCCTGGGACGGGGGAGTATGCCCGAGTGGGGTTGCGAGGGTGCCGTGGGAAAGGAGCACTTGTTGTAGCGTGCGTTGTAGTGATATAGAAAAGTCCAGTTTGGGGAATATGTTTGTGGCGTGTTGCGTGGATACCCAGAGAACGGGTTATCTGTTCGCGTGGTGTTTCGTGGGTATCCTGGGAGAGGGGAATTTGTTGTAGCGTGCAGTTGTTTGATACACGAAAGTTTGATTGCGTTGTAAGGATTCACGAGAGTCCGGTTGGGAAGGGCCCGAGAGCGAATTAGTGGCCCCAGCCTGGCAGGTTTCGATGACGGGGAGGTGTTTTCGCCCGGTCGCCGCGTTCCGCCTTCTGCTGTGAGCGTTGCGTCCAGATGCCACGCTCCGCAGGTCACGGGTCATAGCGTCGCGGAAAGTCATGCAAATCCCTTAAGCGTGAGCGATGATCGTTCGCGGCCTTGGGGATGACGAGGGGGAAATTGTTTTTCGGTCCTTTAAGGACACGCACGAATTCCCCCCCCCCCACCGGCTCACTCGTGGGGCTCCCATGGCCGTTTCACAGGTTCGTGCAGCTTTGGTGGGAGTGTCTTGACAGATTGCTGTTGCTGGAGAGCTCGTTGCTAGTGGTAGTGTTGCTGCTGATGCTGTGGCTGGCACAGATTGTTGCTGTGCTGCTGGTGCTGCTGCTGTTGCTGTTGCGTATCGTGCTGTTGCTTGCGCTGCGTCTGGTGCTGATGCTGGTGATCCTGCTTCTGGTGTTCCCTGTGTTGCGTGTGGTATTGCCGCAGGTGGTATTGGTCGTGCTGCAGTCGTTGATGGTGTTGCTGCTTGGGTTGCTGTTGGTGTTGTTGTTGGTTCTGCTGGTTGTAGTGCTGCTTATGATGTTTCTGCTGTTGCTGTTGCTGGCGAGTGTGGTTCTAATGCTGCTGTTGGTGCTGTCGGTGCCCCTGGTGCTGCTAGTGATGGGTTGCGTCTGGTGGTGTTATGATGGTATTGCTGGCGCTGCTGGTTATGCTGGTGATGCTGACGGTGCTGCTTATAAGCTGTTGGTGCTGGTGTAGTTGGGTCTGATGTTGCTGATGCTGCTGGCGTTGCTGGTCAGTCTGGTGCTGCTTGTGGTGCTTCTTGCATTGCGTGTATCGGAGTCATCTTGGGTCATTTCGGGCGTTGCAACCCTTCGCGAAACGGCCCCGTCCAGGTCCAGGGGGGGAGGCCCTCTGGAAGGGAAAAAGGGGATTGGAAGAAGGGAAGAGGGGCAAGCTAACCAAGTCACGCCCTAAAGGCTTGGTGAGTCTGAATGCACGGTGGGTTTGGATTTTCGGACCCTGCGGGCACCCCGACCCAACGCTAGGAATAGCACATTGTGGCTCCATTATCGGCTGCGTAATCACTCGAAAAGGACATTCCTTGCCCGTTTGCCTGCGGTGTCGCCTGCCATGGCTGCCGTGGTTCCGAGCGTGTTTGACGGCATCTCCCGTGCCGACCTGGACGGCTTCATTTCTGACTTGGAGTCAAAGTTCGGCGAGGCGACCGTGGTGCAGAGAGCGGCGTCATTCTTGCAAGCGGTGCAGGCGCCTGCGTTGGCACAGGCAAAGGTGGATCTCGAAGCAGCGAAGCTTGAGGACGGTGCATGGGTCACAGACAACTTGTTGTTATTGCGGGCGGCCATGTCTGCTGAGTCTGACGCCAGTGGCGTAAGCAATCGAGGTGATGCTGCCGCGCAGTCTGCTCGCGGCGGCGCGGGAGAAGATGACGCGAACACCCGCGCCCTGGTGCCCGAGAATTCGACGCCTCCGATTGTGGGCCGCCTCATTCTTCATCCACGGGCCCCTCCAGTGGGAGATCGAACGGCCTGCCGCAAGTGGATCGAGAACATCCCCCCAGCCGCTCTCCGGGGTGGACTTCGAGAAGCTGCCCCGAAGCCGCGAGGAGCAGAGGTGCAGCTCACCTTCGCGGGCGCGACGGTGACAGCCTTCGACGAGGCCATCAAGCTTGCGCTGCAAGAGTTCGGTAAGGTGCAGCGCTTCAGCCAGGAGGAGTCGAACAGCATCGTCGAGAATGACCAATCGCTCAAGCGGTCTCGTCAAGCAGCGGCCGCCGCGGTCGGAGATGCCACGGGCACGAAGGAGTTGTTGAACAGGGCGATGAATCTCGCAGGCCCAGGTGGGAAAGCGAGCAAAAAGCGTCGCATGGCCCAGCGCGTGGTAAAGAGCTTCGAGCTGGCCCAGCGCGTAGCCTCGGCTAACCTTCGCGAAGCGCAGGTTGAGCCCGAGTCGGATGACGAGGAGGAGTGATCCACGCGGTTGCGCATTTTTGTAGCCTGTGGCAAGGGCGCCATCTTCAGCAGCCCTGGCGCGCTCGTCCGCTTTGCACGTGCGGGCGTCTGTAGCGTTGTTGTCTCTCTGTCGCAGCTAGCCTGTCGCGGCCTGCGACCGAATCGGTTGATATCACGAGGCGCGCACGCGACCCATGCGGCGCCTGTGCGAGAAGGCCTCGCTCTGTAACGTTAGGCAGCTGTCTGCGCGCGGCGGGCCCTTCCTGTCCCGGGCCCGCCCATCGCCCCCAGTTTATCATTCTTCTTCCGCGTTGAGCCCGCCCCCTCTTACATGAACCCTGACCACTCATCGCGCCCCCATCCTTCGCCTGGAGCGCTTGCAGGAAGCTCGGCCATGATAGTGACTCTGGGCACATCGCGACTGCGCTCTGTCGAATAGGCGGAGCTTGTTTCGAGGGGGCCCGTCGCGCCCGACACTCGCGGTGCGAGCGAAGGGGCCGCGAACAAATCGTTGCTATCATCGCTTTGTTGCTTCATGGGCTCGGCGATGCTTCGAGGGAGCGCGCTGGGGAGCGTGAGGAGTGAACTGGAACAGGTTGACCGCGTGCGAGGCGAGGGACTTCGGCTGGGGGGCGTGGGCAATCAGGGACGTCGCCCCCGCTTTCTCCGCTGGGGCGCCCTTCCCCTCTCCGCAGACATTTGGCTTGTGAGCTCGCGGTCCGTTGCCCGCGACCTCTGTCGACAGCGCTCCCCGCGCCGCCTCAGGATGGCCGCGCCCCCGCAGATGGTTCGGCGCCAGCGCCCCCGCGTGGAGCCCGGGGCAGGCGCTCCAACGCGGGTTAGCGACCAAGTGCCAGAAACCACGGGGCCAGTGTCACCCACCCACATGGTCTCGGACCTCACCGCGAACTCCGTGCCGGACATGGTGCTGCGCCTGCTCAAGTTCTACACTCCTTGGAAGTCGGCGAAGGGCACAAAGGTCGCGCGCAAGGTGAAGTGCATCGACGCCGACGGGGAGGAGATAGCGCTCAAGTCATTTGACTCGAAATCCGTTTCCGTGTTTGCCTGGGGACAAGAGGGCGACCATATTCTCGCCAACGGTGTGGAGGCGTCGACGTGGGGCGACGAGATTGATCTGATCGTTCGGGCCGACTCGAACATCAAGCGGGCGCGGCCGGAGCACATGAATGGTTGCCGCGAGCCGGCGCAAGACACCTTCGTGGTGGACGCGCTAGGGGACGGGGCAGCTGACGGGGAGCTTGTGAACGTCTTCGGCAAGATCGCGTCGTGCACTCCTGTTGTGGCCACCGACCAGGAGAAGCCGCGGCGCCTGATGTCCATCGTGCTGGAGGACGATACCGGGCGCGGCCGCATTCGGCTCTGGGACGAGGTGGCGGACTCTGCGACCAAGCTGGCGAAGGTCGGCAGTCACTTTCTCGCGCGCGGGGTGAGGGGCAAGAACGGCGTGTGCCATGGTTTCCCCGGCACTGCCATCGCGTGCGCCGCGCCGCCGGGGTGGGCAGTGGACCCGGGCCTTCAAATCTTTCGGGATTGGGAAGGCATCGATGGACGAGGTATGCTAGTGTCACCAGGGGGCTTGGATGGGTGGGGCGGGGGGGGCCGGGGGCGGGGGCGTCGCTCCCTCCGCTAGGACAGCGCGGCGGCGACCGCAGGCGCCGACGGGGGGCCAGGCAGCCAGGGCAGCAGGGGCAGCGGGCCGCAGGATCATTCGTCGGTGCCGCAGCAGCCCGCGCAGCCGCAGCTTCCGCCATCGGAGGCGCGCGCCGCGGCGGCAATCCGGGAGCAGATTGCCATTGTGCAGGGGCGCATTCCGCTGACGCCCGCGGCCGAGCTCTCGACGCTCTTCGGGGCCCTGGCGGCGCTGTGCCAGGACTTGGAGAATGCGGGCAGCGCGCCGGCGATTCCGGCCGCGCCAGTCGCAGGCTCGGCGGCGGGGCCCCCTGCCGGAGCGGCCCCCTCCGCCCCAGCGGCCGCCGCGGTTGACAACGCGCGCGCTGGGGGGCGTGCGCCAGACCTGCGCGGAGACGAACGCGCGGGAGGTGATCGCGCCACTGCGGTGGGAGGGCCGCCCGTCGACTCGGCGTCCAGCGCAGCGCGCGCGGAGGAACCGGCGCCCCCGACTCACGCATCGGAGGATCCAGGCGGGGTGGGCGGCCGCGTGTCCGGCGACGGGGTCGAGGAGGAAGTTCGCGCGGAGACCGAGCCAGGCGCGCGAGCCTTCTCAGGCAGGCGGGCCTCGCGGGACACAGAGGGGAGGTGAGGTGGTGCGATAGAGGAGGGGGGCATGGGGGCAAAAGGTTGCGCGGGTTTCGCATCGAGCACTTTCCTCTTGCCTTGCGCCCACTGGGCGCTTGAGATGAGGCGGCGACGAACGCGTTGCTCAGAATTGTCACGGGCAGCGCGTTTTGTTTCTTACCAATCGGTTAATCTTACGTGGGCCGCACGCACGCGGTGAACACGGCGCCTGTGCGAGAAACGCGCCCACTGTGTAACATTAGGCATCGATCCGGCATCGCCGTGCGCGCGGGCTTCAAAAGCCTGAAGCACGTGCGGGTTCGGAATACCTCTGCGCTGAAGCCCCCTCCCCTCTTACATGAGCCCTCACTACCTTTCGCGCTCCCATCCTGAAGCCTGGAGCGCCTGCAGGCAGCTCGGCTGTATCAGTGACTCTGGGCACAGCGACTGCGCTCTGTCGCATGGCGGAGTTTTTACCTAACAGCGAAGACTGATAGGTTTCTAGTAGTCTCAAAAGAGGTCACAGATCACTCCACAGGGGGGTCCGGGCAGGTGTTGGGAGTTGCCGGGCGGGTTGTGTCCACCTCGTTTTTCACCAACAGTCACACACTTCGTGCTCTTCGACTTCCCAGAACTCCATTCCCAGGCCACATTCTGAATACCCGGATGCAACAGTCACACACTTCGTGCTCTTCGAGATCCCAGAACGCCATTCCCGGGCCACCTTTAGAATAACCGGATGCAACAGTCACACACTTCGTGCTCTTCGAGTTCCCAGAACGCCATTCCCGGGCCACATTCTGGAGGGCCGGATGCAACAGTCACACACTTCGTGCTCTTCGAGTTCCCAGAACTCCATTCCCGGGCCACATTTTGGATGCCCGGAGCCAACTGTAGGCCACTTCCTGGTCTTCGAGTTCCCAGAACTCCATTCCCGGGCCACATTTTGAATGCCCGGAGCCAACTGTAGGCCACTTCGTGCTCTTCGAGTTCCCAGAACTCCATTCCCGGGCCACATTTTGAATGCCCGTAGCCAACTGTAGGCAACTTCGTGCTCTTCGACTTCCCAGAACTCCCATTCCTGGGCCACATTTTCAGCAGGGGCAAGAGCACGACGAGGAGGAGGACGAGCAAGACCAGGAGGACGAGGACGAGCAGGAGCAGGACGAGGAGCAGGAGGAGCAGGAGAAGAAGGACGAGCAGGAGGAGGAGGAGGACGAGCAGGAGGAGGAGGACGACCAGGAGGAGGAGGACGACCAGGAAGAGGAGGAGGAGGAGGAGGAGGGGAGGAGGGAGGAGGACCAGGAGGAGGAGGAGGAGGAGGAGGAGGAGGAGGAGGAGGAGGAGGAGGAGGAGGAGGAGGAGGAGGAGGAGGACGAGGGAGGACGAGGAGGAGGAGGGGGGGGGGAGAGTACCAGGAGGAGGAGAACGAGGAACCAGGAGGAGGAGAACGAGGACCACCAGGAGGAGGAGGAGGAGGAGGAGGAGGAGGAGGAGGAGGAGGAGGAGGAGAGACACCAGGAGGAGGAGGACGAGCAAGACGAGGAGGACGAGAACGAGGACGACCAGGAAGAGGAGGGAGGAGGAGGAGGAGGGGGGGGAGGACTACCAGGAGGAGGAGGAGGAGGAGGAGGAGGAAGAGGAGGAGGAGGACGAGGAGGAGGAGGAGGAGGAGGACGAGGAGGAGGAGGGGGGGGAGAGCACCAGGAGGAGGAGAACGAGGACCACCAGGAGGAGGAGGAGGAGGAGGAGGAGGAGGAGGAGCACCAGGAGGAGGAGGACGAGCAAGACGAGGAGGACGAGAACGAGGACGAGCAGGAGGAAGAGGAGGAGGAGGAGGAGGAGGAGCAGGAGAAAGAGGAGGAGGAGGAGGAGGCAGGCTGAGGCTGAGGCTGTGACTGCGACTGCCGTTGCCGCTGCGACTGTCATCGCGAATGCGACTACGACTGCGAGAACAGCAGAATTCGACAACTGGATTTTACCTAACAGCGAAGACTGATAGGTTTCTAGTGGGATCAAAAGAGAGCAGCAGATCACTCCACAGGGGGGTCCGGGCAGGTGTTGGGAGTTGCCGGGCGGCAGGTGCCGGGCTCGTTTTTCACCAACAGTCACACACTTCGTGCTCTTCGACTTCCCAGAACTCCATTCCCAGGCCACATTCTGAATACCCGGATGCAACAGTCACACACTTCGTGTTCTTCGAGATCCCAGAACGCCATTCCCGGGCCACATTTAGAATAACCAGATGCAACAGTCACACACTTCGTGCTCTTCGAGTTCCCAGAACGCCATTCCCGGGCCACATTCTGGAGGGCCGGATGCAACAGTCACACACTTCGTGCTCTTCGAGTTCCCAGAATTCCATTCCCGGGCCACATTTTGGATGCCCGGAGCCAACTGTAGGCCACTTCCTGGTCTTCGAGTTCCCAGAACTACATTCCCGGGCCACATTTTGAATAGCCAGACGCTTCGTAGTCCTTCCGCCACAGCCGTGTTTGGTTCAGGAATTGCTAGTGACACTGCAGTCCACTGCATTCAATCGTGCCACTGCATTCACTCACTGCAGTCCACTCAGTTTCGATTGCAATGGCGTTCCCCTGGCCGTACCCCCATACCCAACGTTCATCCGCAGCCTCTGCTCCGCGAGGCTCGTCCGAAGTGTCGCCGCCTCGCGGTGCTTCTCAGCCTGCGCCGCCTCGCGGTGCTTCTCAGCCTGCGGAGGAAGGTGGACAGACGCCTGGTTCTGGCGCTGTGCAGCCTGCGTCTTTCACGGTCGCCTCGTTCAATTTCGGGTTCGAGCAGGGCATGATGACTGGTAAGCAGGCGGCCACTCACTGCGCTAACTTCGGAAGGTTGTGCGCCAAGATAGTGGAGACCGCTGATGCTGATATGGTCTGTGGCTGCGAGGTCGGTGCGTTCCGTGAAGGCTTTCGCCGAGCAGGGATCAACGTGACAGAGATCCTCAGTAAGCCTTTCGGTGATGGCATTCGCTTCTTGGAGGTCGACAACTACTTGACTCTCTGGGGGTTCCGCGGTGCTTCTCAGCCTGCGGAACTGACTCTGTGCGAAGACAGCAAAGTTTACAGGCCTCCTAGCGGCCGAGAGATTGATGCTGTTATTTCACATTTTGAGGTGAACAAACCAGGCCATGACAAGTTCCACGTGGTGATCGCCAACATGCACATCGTGTGCGGCAAGAAACCGCCGACCATCCAGACTCGAAAGCGGACAGTTCGCAATCTCCGCTTGCACCTGGACTGCCTGGGAAAGATTCTTGAGAATCTGAGCCAGGCAGTCGTTCTGCTTGTAGTCGGCGACGACAACCTCACTT